GCGATGAGTCTCTGCTCTAAGGCTGTAAGTCATTTGGATATGTAGCTAAATCACATGTCGATGAGTCTCTGCTCTAAAGCTGTAAGTCATTTGGATATGTAGCTAAATCACATGTCTATGAGTCTCTGCTCTAAGGCTGTAAGTCATTTAGAAATGTAGCTAAATCACATGGCAATGAGTCTCTGCTCTAAAGCTGTAAGTAATTTGGATATGTAGCTAAATCACATGTCGATGATTCTCTGCTCTGAAGCTGTAAGTCATTCGGATATGTAGCTAAATCACATTTCTATGAGTCTTTGCTCTAAAGCTTTAAGTCATTTGGATATATAGCTAACTCACATGTCAATGGGTCTCCAATGTAAAGCTCAAAAGTAAAGCTGTAAGTTACGGGAGCTTCTTTGAACGAAAGCCTCTTTTAAGAAACTAACAGATGTGCAGCAAAGGACGATGCAGACGACCAATTATCGCAAATGTGGGGGGAAGGCAGGCGCTTGGCTGATAGCCTGAACGCAGAGCTGCTGTGCTTCATTAAGTCACAGCGGGCTGCATCAGCATAGACTCCCCCCAGAGTCCATGGGGCAGCGGTAAGATAAGCACGCCGCTCACCGGCACAGACATCCTTCTTGCCTCCGTTTGTGGTCCCAGTCAGGTTTGACAGAGAAAAATATCATCCATTGGTCTGAGAGTCATCCTTTCCCATGATGCATTGAGACAGTATGTTGGACTGCATCAAAGCCCTTCAATCACTCAGTGTGAAGCCTCTATTTATTTCCCAGGAGTGTATCCCATCCAGATTGCCTTTGTTTTGTTAACCCTGTCATTGCCTTACAAACGTACACCCCCCCATTCCCCCGCCCCACGGTCCATCTCATACCCACGCAGGTCCCGCGGATCAGGTCAGGCTGGTAGCCCGTCTGGCAGTTGCAGCGGTAGTTCCCAGGCAGGTTCTGACAGATCTGGCCCTCTCCGCAGCGGTGGGCACCAGTCTGACACTCGTCGACATCTGGGTCGCACAGACGGAGTGGGGCGGTGTGGCCGGGGTAAAAGAGTTAGCGGGGTCATGCATCCACATGTTACATACATCACTATCATTACTGCTGCCCAATTTCCTGTCTTCCAATCAGATTATTCGCTAAACTACTTGCTCCTGCTGTGGCACGATGACTGAAACCCCAGAGCTATAACCTGTAGACTGCTGGTCCAAATCCCAAAATGACCTTGCTGTCGTTGCCAATTGATCTCCTCCTCATTGTGAATAAATAAAGCCCAATCTGGTTTCGATGAGATAGGGCCGCCGTACCAATGCACCGGGCTCCGTCGGCGCTGGTGTGGTAGCCCTGGCTGCACAGGATGACCTTGCGCTGGCAGGTGTACGAGCCCACGGTGTTGATGCAGTTGAAGCCGGAGCTGCAGGGCTCCTCCAGACTGCTGCACTCATCAACATCTAAGGAGGAGCAGGGAAGGTGATCGGGGGGGGGGGGGATACGAGAAAGACTGTCTGATGTTCCATGTCCACCCCCACTATGTCATTCTACACCCTATGCACACCATGTCTTTTTCTCTAAAGCAGTGTTTCCCAATCTGGTCCTCAGGGACCTGCAAACAGTCCATGGTTTTGTTCCCTCCCAACTCGGAGGGAGCAAAAATGTGGACTGGCTGTGGGTTCCTGAGGACCGGATTGGGAAACACTGCTCTACAGAAATGTAATGGAAGCTGTGTTTCCCAATTAAGCTCTATGCACTGTAATCCCAGGGCGGACATTCCCCATTCAGCGGGATCTCATCAGGAACCTAATATAGCCACCCATCCCACAGCACCAGCCAATGAGAGAGGCCAAGCCACCTACCGACACAGTTGCCATGTTTGTCCTGGCTGAACCCAGTGAAGCACCTCTGCCTGGGTTGGCAGGAGAAGGAGCCTTGCATATTCTGGCACTCAAAGCCCACTCCACAGTTGTGCGTCCCCAAGGCACACTCATCAACATCTGCCCCCAGGCAAAAAAAAGAGGGGGGGGATGGATACAGGAGAAAGTCATATTGTCATTTTCAGCTGTATATGGTTTAAACAGGCTATAGAATGATGCAGTACAACAGAAGTGTGTGAACTGTGTTCCCCTCTGGCTTTGTTAGATGTTTGACACTTTCACCACTAGGTGTCACTTTTGGTTCAAAGACAGGCCCTGGGCCCATTCTCACCGATCAGACTGAATCATAAAATCCTTTCCGATGCTTTTACGTCTCTAAAACTGCGTCAGAACAGTCAATTTTGTTGTCATGGCTGCAGAAAGAGCAAAAACCTGCATGTACGTATCTCGGTGAATAACGGAAGGCATTACAAAAATTAGGGAACTGCGATTTGTGCAAGGATGTTAACAGGCACACGCAGACCATGTTCCCGTAAAGCGATTACTGGGACACTTTCGATCATTATTTGCGAGATCTTCATTCTGTGGATTCCAGCTCCCGTCAGCGCTGCGCATGAGCTTTTCCGTGTCAGGATGGCGATTTCTGCCTTCGTTCTGTGCTGATAATCCAATAGCCAATCATTAGCCAATCGTTCCAATTACTGTAATCACCAGGCCCCATCTATTGGCCTTTTCCATGACACCAGGTCCAGACGAAGACCCGTGGAGAGTCTATCGGTAACCTGTGTGCTCGCACGTTTACTCAGTTGCTGCCCGTCACTGCACATCCGGCAGCCGGTGTGCAAACGGCAGAATCTGGAGTAGCTACGCCTGACAAGGGAAAAAATGGCAGCTATTAGCAGCTGCTGTTATCGGCGCGTCCCCCGGTGCCGACAGGCCGCCGACAGCAGGGACCCGCTCTCCTGATCCTGCCACCGACTTACCGCACCTGGCTGAGCCCATGCAGATCAGATTTGAAATCAAATGAACCACCTCAGAAAAAAGCAATCGGGTGGGAGGTCATATCTGCATAGTCTGGGCCAAACACAATTTAATAATGCTCTATTATTACTCGTGGCAATAGCTTTATTAATTACGGGTCTATTTTTATAGCTGTTTCATTTCACTTCCACATAAGGGCAAGGCTGCTCCACTACGAGCGTTTCTGGAATGTTCTGAGGCTAGTTCGTCTTCCAGGGCACCGCGGCTCCGCTCACACGCTCTGGACGGACTGCAGAGATATGGGTGACTGTAATCTGCACTGTTTCCGTGGGCCCCACCCTCTTAGCTACTACGCTCATATGCTCAAATAAATGTGAATAAACTAGATTGTTCACACTCTGAGGCATCATGATCGCAAGTGAGCAGCGGCTCCTCGGGAGGAAGTCAGGGTGTGGGGCTGCTTGCTTCATCTCGTGCAGATGTATGAATTCACTACTGCTGAAGCCTCACTTAAGGTGCCTAAAATGTGGACATGTGACTTTGTGTTTTAAATGGCAGCTGTCACAAGAGGTGGGGGGGGGGGGGAGACATACCTTCGCAAACCCCATCTCTTGCCTGGTACCCTGCTGGGCATATTATCTGCCTTTGGCACATAAAGGACCCCATGGTGTTGACGCATTTCTCGTTGGCCTGGCAGCTGTGAGCGTTAGTGACGCACTCGTTCACATCTGTGGGGTGACGAGGAGAAAGGGAAAGAGAGAGAGACAGAGATGAAGTGTGTGACGTTTGAAGGAGGGGTTGGTCCCTTGGGTTTCCATGGGAGCAGTGGCGACAGTCCCCGAGAACCGCAGCCAGGCTCTCCGCTGCATCGCCTGGCGCTCCACTCACAGACACATGCAGGGAACTTTAGAGCAGTGTTCCCCAATCTGATTCTCAGGGACCTGCAGACAGTCCACGTTCCTGCTCCTCCCCAGCTCCCGGTAGGGATCAAGCATGTGCACTGTCTTGCAGGGAGCTGGGAGGGAGCGAAAATGTGGATCGTTTGTGGGTCCCCGAGGACCAGGTTGGGATACTGCTTTAGAGGAAGTCCATCTTACTGTGGGAGGCACCAGGAAGGATCACCCCCCCCCCCAAAGACAGAGCACCAACCGCATCGCCGCGTGCAACTACAGCCATAAAGGATTTGTTGAAGGTTGTTGAGGGACGTCTGTGCTCTTAAACCAGGGCAATTAGTGCACAAGGCGGCATTTAACACCAGAGCCTTATCAGGATGGCACAAGCACAAATTTCAGCTCGAGAGGTAAGAGCAGCTCTAGTACAGATTCATAAAGCTCACTCCCCTCCCAGCAGGGTGAGTCACAGCACAGATGAGGCCATTGTTTCGGAAGTTAACCCCCGGAAATCCCATAGTCACGCGAAAGTGATTACTACCCGGCTCGAGAGCCTCTAAGGGGGGTCCAGCGTGTGGCAGAGTCCCAGTTATGAAGAACCCCCGCCCAAAGTGGGCAAATCCCAGAAGAAGGTCTGTGTTTGAACAAGCAAATGAATGCATGACAGGTCGTGCTGTAAACACAAAAGGGAAAGGATTTTGTTTGTTTGCTTGTAAAGGCTTTTCCTCAGCGAACACAAAGGGGGAGGGGGGCACAATGACTAAGATGCCAGATTTATGATACCAGAGTAACATTCTTTCTTTTCTGCTCCTGAAGAAAGACACCTTTCTTGGATTGCTTTAGTGGAAAGATCCAGGTGTATAAAGCATGAAATTACAAGGCATGCGTGTCTGAGTATGCCTTGTCGTTTCGTACAAAGACACCTGCAAAGCAAATGCTAATATTAATAAGTATAATAATATGTGTAATAGGTATTCCCCTATGCTTTCACGGGGGTCTCTTCATATTTAAATGCCTGGGAGAGGCAGTTGGATCATTTTAAAATGAGGTCTGTCAAGAAGAACCAGATGCCTTGGAAAAAAAAGAGATGTTAAAGATTGCAGACAGAAGCTGCAGCGTAGCACAGAGCAGTCCTGTACTGAGTCCACCTGGGTTACGTTCCACACGCAGTCTGGGACGGGGCGGATATTAAGGAAAGTCATGAGGTGCTGCACTTGGAAGGGGGCGCTCTCTGCCCTCAACCTAAAGCTGTAAGCAGTTTCTGAAGGTGGCGTTCAGAATTTACCGGAAGGCGATGCAGTCTACGACATTTCGGTTTTGGTTGAGTCACGCAAAGAAGAAGGGAGTCCTCACCAAATTCCAGCACCTTCCACGGATTCCCCAGGGTGGAGGGGTTAGCAGACCACTCAGCGTACAGCACCTTCCACTCAACGGGCAAAATGCAGACCTCGCCTTCGAATTACAGCCACATTTCTGCTTAATTAGGGCATGGGAGCGAACCTAACATCCCATTTTTCGTCGCCGATAGGAATGAGTCGGTCATTTGTGTCTTTCGCCTTGTCACAGAGTCACCATTCACAGCGCACAGGGAGGTGAAAATCCACTTAAGAAACAGCTTTTTAAAATTGCGCAGAATGATTCAACATTCTGTAACGTCACTAGTGCGTTCGGCGCTGTTAGGCACGGGTAAATTATGTATCTGTCCTGACCAGGTGTCAAACCAGGCAAGACGGAAGCAGACCATTGAGGTTTTTAGGCAGCTACATCTGACACATTACGCCCTGGGCTGAGTTTTAATTGACAGGTGAAAAGAGTGGAAAAAAGTACCTGTTGCTTATTCCCCGATTTACCATAGACACATGGGTGGGGGAGGAGGATCACCTCACAAGCCCATAATTTAACTGAATGTTTTAGTTTCCGAGAGGCGAATCCCTGGATACCGGAGCCCCAGATATCTAAATCAGTCTTGCAACTTTTACTTACAGACTCTGCAGGTATGATGATGATAGAAATATAAAAAATTCTGATGAAGATACAGCAGGATATCAATTTCAAACATCCGCATATATGTGGATCATTAATATAATTGTAGGGTAATCTACCAATCGGCATCCTTCCATCTTACCAATCCATCCATCTTCTATACCTGTTTATCCATTACGGTATTAGAGACTCTAGCCAATCACAGTCCATTGAGTAATTTAGACACAAGGATGCAATTCAAACTAACAAGGACACAAATTCAACTAACCACGTGTTTTTGGATTACTGTAGTGTCTACCACTCAACTGTATTCAAAATTAATTATCTTGGAGAGAAGAAATAATGTTTGTGAGGTCTATGAAAACATCAGAAAATTTATGCAAAGACCTTCACCTTTTGCATCCGAGTAAAGTGGCAATTGCAAGCATTAGCTTTGCTGGTTGTTGGAAAATGCGGTCCAGCCAGAGCTGCTGAGGCACCGTTTTTGGTGCATGCGGCAAACTGGCGGTCAGGCGGACCGAATGCATGCAAGGGTGCACTGGCATGCGGTAAACCCTTGGCGAGGCCATGGTGCCAGCTGTGGTCGTCTTACCCACGCACTCTCTATTCCCGTTGAGTATGAACCCCTCCTGGCACGATTCAGGCAGGCACTGGTAGGATCCCGCCGTGTTGACGCAAACATCTCCGCGCGGGCAAATGGCCATGTCTGTGCCGCACTCATCCACATCTACACAAAATGGAGGTGAGGCACGGTGAGAGGCGTGTAGGCCAGCACAGGGCCCCTCCTGGTCCAGCGGTGGCCTTTCAAGCTGAGGCTACACCTCCGGCGTCTCCTTCAGGCCGAAAGCATTAATACAGAGCGAAACACACCGTGCTCGACCTCATATTCACGACAGGAAAGGGAATCTGGCTCAAAGCAATTCTTCCTCTGCATTCCTACACGGAAGAGAAGTATGAAAGTTACAGTACAGAGAAAAGGGCATCTGGATTTCATATGTAGAGAGAGCACTGAACTATATTTGATTAAATTCTCAGTTTTTAGCAGGTGAGGCTACACTGGAGTGCTGGTTCAAACTGCCAGGTCAGTAACACTTGCTTTCCTTGGTGCAGGACAGATTAAATCAACCTTGCCCACCCACACTTTAACATATGGGAGTACTTACTGGGACAGAGCCACCATTCGACACACATGGACCAAAAGGGAATAATGTACAGACCGCGTCAAATTCAGGATTTCTTCCCCACATGGACACGCCCACACCATACACCAGCAAACATATATCAGCCAGGAGCTATGATGTCTATAAAGCAGAATTCAGACCTGTTTCCACATTTCATCGCACTCACAGTCCTGAGCTACCGCAATGCTAAGGTAATTTGTGCCCCGTGGTTGTTATGTTAACACCCGAGCTGTGCCGATGGCTTGTAGAACAAAAATATTCATCTTGGTCGCACGCCAACAGTGAAATGATCAATCAATCGAATGAAATGCACAATTTAAAGGGATCCTATTCATCTGTATTTGGTTATTTTACATCATGTGCTTAGTTTTTGCAGTTTTTAAATTTATTTACTCTGTTGATACATAACTGCAGCGCCAATGTTTGACTGTGTCATTCTTGTAAGTTTTTGTATCAGGGAAGGGAAGTTTGCAGTGATGCCTGTGTGCAGCTGATATAGTAAATGTAAGCACACTGTCTACTGTTACATAACATCTCTCCATGACATACAAACCACCTGCAGTCATCCTTATAAGACCTGACATCCGGAAACACTAGAATGCTTGGATGACCCGCCCCGTGCCACACGTTGAGATACATTTAATCAGCTTGGCGACTGTGCAGACCATAGACACCCAGCCTTCCTTAATCAAGTGTGGGCTCGAATTAAAAGACAGCTTTCCTCGCAAAATAATAACAGCCAGAGGACAGCACTAGGAGGGTCGATCATGCTATAAGAAGAAAATAAGAGAAATCAGTTCCATTTAACAGATCGAGGGGGTTTACATTGATACAGCTGGAGTTTGTTACTGTAGAGTTAGCCCATAGCGGCTAATTGGCTATGGTTCACTACCGCTCTGGGCTCTGGACTTAACTGGGTTGTAACCAATCGGATGTGTGATATAGAGGGTACATTTTTAACTTATCCCTGCATTTCCAATTTCCAATTTAAAAAGACAGAGAATAGCTTGGTTTATTAAGGAGATGCATGACATTAAATTTTAGGGATAGCAAGTGCCGTCTCATGGGCCGAAGGCATTGTCTTTGTGGAGGTGCCTGCTCACCTTCACACGAGCGCCCGTCGGTCATCAACGAGAAGCCGGGAAAGCAGGAGCAGTGAGCCTGCCCTCCCTCCACGGAGCACAGGTGTGCACAAGGCCCATTTTCTGCAAAGGGAGAAGGTAAAGGGCAGCGGAGAGCCGTTAACATCCAGCCCTGTCATCCTCCCCTGGATTCTTCATCCATCTTCCTCCTGGGTCTTGTGACCCATTGACTTTTTCTACTGATTTACGATATGTGGTTCCCCCCCCCCCCCATGTTTTCCTCAATAGCTTTGCCTTTTCTCTGTTATAGGGCTTTGGTGCCTTGATTTCTGACCTAAGGATTCCCAAGCTCTCAGCCTCCGAAGCAGTACCTCCCCCACACAGGAAAGACTGGCTCCGGTCTCCATACACATATCATCCCCCACTACCTCAAAATGGCCTCAATTATGGTGATTAAAATGCTTGCTTGACAAAATAATAGTGCGATTATTGGCTTCTACATGAGCAAATTCTTTGCTCAAACCAGGGAACATGGCTGCGGTTGATTAAACTCGGACCGTTCTGGCAGGTGTGGGAGTGGCCAACAGGCTCTGATTTCAAGGCCAAGCAGTATAAAGCTTTTCTACTTCAATGATCACGGCCAAATGTGTCTCTCCCAGTTAGGAGACTCACTTAGCCAAACGGCTCGCAGTGGAAACGGTGGGTTCAGCCGGGTGATGGCATCGAATAGCCGACATGACAGCCGCAGACAAAAGGAAAAGGGCTTTGCGAGGTGGGTCTGGACCTGACGCTAGCACTAGTGTAGCCTTGGTCACCCCCCCTCCCCCCCCCGGCCCTGGCCTTGGCACAGACCGTCTGCCATCAGACGCTCCAGACGAGCTTAAAAGAAATCTGATGCATCAGCCAGATGTATCCGGGTCGCTCTGCTCTGGCCACACATGCTAGACACGCCGGTTATTCTTTAATAAATCATTAACATCACACTGTCCTGATATTGTGTCCTTATTTTTTTTCTAATTTGAACCGTTAAAGATAATACGGTATAAAAGAAGTTTAAGTGGCTTTTTTCGGCAGTATTCTGTAGCTGTATCATTTTGGCATCACATGCTGAGTAAAACGGACTTTATGGCGCATGTAAGTGTGTAAGTGGACAACATTTTCATATCATGCAACATTAAAAATAATCAATGTTATTTCACCCTGAGGAAAAGGTCTCCCAGAGTGGATTTTTCCGTCATTCATCGTAGCGCTACACACGCCACATGTTTTAAGCAAATCCACTTGCACACCTGGATTTCCGCTCCACTTCTTAAAAGACAACTGTACATCACATGATTTTTACATCAGATCCTGGAACGGGCGAGGGAATCGCTGACACAGTCGTATCAGTTTGAACGAAAAAACGATAATAAGAAAGTAAAAGCTGGGACCAGTATGAAGGGGTGAGGAAAGATCTCCCACAGGCAGTCTCGTTATAAAGACTCAGCAAGTGACTGTGTCTGTGATTGAACCACAGCGAAACCATGCTGGTTCATTCTGGTACAAGCCACAGGTGAGAGGTTGGTCCCTTCAGACTATGAACTACAGCATTGTGCTCCGTATTCCCAGGGGACACAGATGGATACCACAAGGCAGAAAGGGCCACTTACCTGCACAGGCGTTGAGGAGGGCTGTGGTCCGGGTGGGGGGCACGTCTGTTTCGGGAGGCTGCCTTGCTCTCCCCTCTTCCTGTCCCACTCTGTTATCCTCCATTGGGTTGTCTTATGGGGCACACAAAGAACCATTGCTGGTTACTGCTCAGATTACATACCTATACAATCCCAGTTAGCTCCCTTATTACTGCAGAACAGGAGAGCAAGAAAACCAAAGCCAACACTGAAAATGGACCACACAGAAAGATGGCTTTTTCCAATAACTGACAGAGTTATCGTGGTTGGATGCAATTAATCAAGGGGATTCATGCACCTAAAACAGATATTTGGAAACCTAAATACTGTAAAGAATAAATTCCCAGCCCATTTTCTATAAATGTTATTGGTATAAATTATCTGTACATTTCAGCATATTTCCCTTTCAGGCTTGAAATCGGACAGCAAATGCAACCACAGAAATCTCTGCTGGCTTCATGTCGGGAGTGAGAATGGTGATGCTTCGGGTAGCGTGAGCGACGCCACATAACCACGCAGCAAATTTATGATCATCTTCAAACGTTTCCCATGAGCTCCTAGCAGGTATTCCAGAGAACCTCATTCTTCAGCTCAACCTGTGTCGCCTTGGCCCGCTTACGTTCTTCCTCCTGTGGGAAGCCTGAAATGCCAAGGCTGGACTGTGAGGCAAGATGGAGCAGCCCGTGTAGGGAGTGAGTCCAAACGCCCTGGTGTTTGTTCTGGAATTCTGATTGAAATCCCAGCCATATTGTTGGAGAAGCGGTGCCTAGACTTCTGTGGCTTAGCACTGACCCTAGCAAACTCAGTTCATTCTGAAAAAGCCTGAGGCAACTGCATCTGTCTCCTCCACCGCTCGCATTGTCTGGGTGACACTACTCCAAATCATGAGCGTGACTGAGGGAAATCTGTTTGTTTTAGATATATCTTTACATCTCAGCATAAATAAACCATGTAAGCAGTACGGCTTTTCTGTGGCCGTAAAAATAACACTATTGTCTGATCCAACACAATAGAGAACAAATTTGCTCTTGGCAGTGAACTGTCGAACGTAATCAAGAAAGAGAAGACACTAATGCTTACTTGGGTGTAATGTTCAGTTAGAACAAATGAAAACACATGTTTTGACACATAATCTTTGTCTGGGCATGATGTAATTCATCAAAAGCCTAGATACATGATTTAAGTGCTAATAATTACGCAATATTTAATGGACACATAGAGGGAACTAGGGACCGACTTATTATATGCTGCAAAGATTCTAATTGAAAGTAAAACGTCCCAAAATTTCAAAAGAACCAAAAATCAATGAAGGCTTCTCACAACAGCACAGCTGTCTATCGCCTGCACTCATACTCTTCGCAGGACATCAGTCAAAATCATCATGGGATATAAAACGCAAGTACCAGATGTGTGTGCTTTTCCAATTTTGACTGAACATGTCACCGCAGCAAAAGCATTTAGCAGCAGAAGGGTGCTATGCTTTATTTTGTTTTTTATTTAGTTTGTTTGTGTGCATGAATTAGTAGGATTTTCCAGGAAACTCCTCACATATGGAACCAAATACAGCACTATTCACACTTTCCCAGATTTACAGTCACCCAACACAGAAATAATGTCAAGTACTACTGTGCTATACAATTACATATAATGCAAAGCATTCAACATTAAACTAATCTCTTGGCTTGCAAGCTGCTGCTTTCTGCATACATATTTATTAACTGTTCAGTTTTATATCTTGCTCATTTATATCCTGACAGAGACAAGATGCTTGGCTTTACAAATGGAAAAATACAAATATATTTTAAAGCCCTGGTTAGCTTTTCTGAGTGACAAAGAAGTATATATTGGCAGAGGAGTGAATTAATTGAGGCAATGCAACAAAAATAAAGAAAACAATCTAGCCTGATACAACAAAGTTTGCTTGCAATGTCACAACCTGCACATTTTTTAAAAAGCCTTCCTTTAAGTATGGCATCCAAAAAAAAAAAACAGCTGTTAAGAACGTAGCCATGATTTTAGAATAATTATTGCAATGATCAATTGTAGGTCAGACGCTGAAAATGAACATTCAGATGTAGTTACCACATGCTCTGTGAGGATAAGGATTATCAGCCCCAGTCATAACAGCTGAAAAGGATGTGTGATCCAAGTAAAAATCATTTCCGTTTACAGACACATCATAGTTCAGTCGCATTCCTTGAATCCTTGAATCACTGCACAAGTGAACACACCCAAACAAATGTAAAACGACTTCAGAGCGGCACACTAATAAAAAAGAACTTTGATGTCTGCCTTGCCAGGTATTGTAAGATTCTGGCCCGAATCTTTAAAACAAGCTTTCCTCCAAGTATGTGTAAATCATTCAGCACCCATCACAAGTCTGTGTTTATTCTACAGGAGTTGTCTGCCGACTTCCGTGAGTTCTAGAATTCATGTCTTTGCACATGAGGGTTTTATGTGAAACCAATGAAAACAAAGGTTCCTTTTTTGAAAGAACCGTAATATCTAAAGGGGAAAACCAACATGGCAGTTAGAGACCTTAAGAGACCGATGAGGCATATGAACCAAATGCTCTGTAATCATCTGTGAAGCAGATAAATTATAACAATGTTACGCACAAAACTTGAATGCTGTTTTTTTTTCCTAGACAAAAAGCTGTAGCTCAGTACTCTTAGATAAACAGTAAATTTCTGCAGTCGATTGATTGTTTATTTGTACAGCTCTGATCACTGCCGCCACACCTCAGCAGTGTGCTTGCTAAAGGGGGTCACTCACCTGACACGCAGAAGTGTCCGTCCTGGTGCAGCGTGTAGCCCGGGTAACAGGCACACTCGTAGGAGCCCCAGGTGTTGATGCACCTCTGGTGGCACAGCCTGTCCCCATCAAGCTGGCACTCGTCGACATCTTCCAGGTCCTCCACGGAGTTGGCTGCCTCCTCCCTGTCCTGGATGGAGAAGGCCTCGTTGGGGAACCTGCTGTCAGAGACTGAGGAGTTGGAGAGAGTCTGTTTATACTTCAGACGGCAGAGGTAAAGTCATGAGAGATGACGGATGGATGGATGGATTATTTATCTCTGGAGGGACATTTGAGAGAGAAGGCGTGGTGATAATCAAACCTACCAAAACACTGCACATTACATTCTCAGAAATGTGGGCCACTGGTGTAGCTCGACTTCACAGCAAGGTACCTACCATGTTTCACTGTAGTATCTATCTGCAAAAATTCCACATGCAATGCAACTAGCTTCAAACATTAGCATTAGCATTGACAGTGCACTGCTGTATACCACACATCCCACCGTGTATCAGGAAACCTGCATCTAACAGTCTTGTGTGCAACATTAGGTTACTAAACGTGACACAGTTCTTCAAGCTGACAGATGAAGCGGGGTATAATATCCCAGTAATGCCCCATTAGTAAAAAAAAATGCAATCATGTAAACTGCAATTGGATCCACACCATCATGCAGTCATTACCTAAACCTCACTGCAGAAAGGGGATTAAATGTTTCCGCCTAAATTAATCATGTCAAGGAGAGCCGTAGGGATGCGAAAAAACTCTCATGGAAATAATTACTTCTCATTGATTTTCTTCCCATAAACCTTCGATTCTGCACAAAAAAAAAACATACGCAGCTTCACACATCTGCCTCGATGGAGAAATGAGGAGCATCTCAGTATGTTTATTTGATCTAATTTCACCAAGTTCTCTTGCTTCCTTTGGGGCAGCCGGGAATACAATAAGAAAAAGGGGAAAGAGTTATTTTTGAGGCACTGATCACGGCTGATGAGGCCCAGCGTCACTCTCAGCTGATGTGTAGATGTCAGCTTGAGACCCGACACTCAGCAGGGTTACGTGTGATAACGTCAATGTCGACATGCACGTCCTTCTACCCGGAAGCACCGGGGTTAAAGAGCAAAGTGTGTGATGGGGGAAAGAGGGGTGGATCCGCAGTGGGGAGCGTGGAGAGGATGCACCCCCGGCTGAGTCATCCTCTCCACTCTAACATTCCCGTCTTATCACAGGGCACCAGTCCGTGTCCAGACTTCACGGTCTGGAGTGTGGAAACCTCACGATAATTACCAAGCGCGGACAGCACGCTGGGCGCATGTAATCACAGAGCATGATGAGCAATGACATCGGCCACACTCAACATCCCTAAATATAGCCATCTGATACAAACTAATCAGTTTAGCTCCACTTGCATTTCACAGATGTCCAAAAACAGTTCCAGCCTACTCCTACTATTACGTGAAACATTCTTGCAAAGTTTGGCAAACTGGCATCGGCTATAGGTACTCTGTGGCCCCGCAGACGAATTAGAGCACTGCTGGCAACAGCAGAATAGCAGCAGATTGCACCAACACCTGTCCAGGCATCGTCTCAGATCTGCCGTAGATATGCCTGACAGCCCGGCTTTGTGTTTCCCCGCCTCAAAAGTATATGTAAATGTCAGCATCTGGTCAACATCTGTGTCGGGGGAAAATAAAACTGAGCATATAAGCATTTAGAAGCGGCATTTGGATGCATTAAGGCGACTTGGGAAACCTGCGAGTCTGGCTTCATGATCAATGGCGCAAGGTTTAGTCCGAAAGTCCTTACAGCCAAGTGCAAATCACGACTTTCGTAAATGCACCCTTACTTCCGATTGACAGGTCAGCACAGAGTAAAGACGAATGGAACGGCTGTGCATTAGGCTTCCCGGACAGTCACCTCTGTCCGGCAGGACGGTAGGCTCTGGCCGCTGCCTCCGCCGTAGAGCTGGCTGGCTGGGGCTCTCGTCTTCCTCACAGCAGCTCAGGAAGATGTTGCCACAGGAGTAGCTGAGATGCTCGTGGGCCGCGCAACCCTGCCCCGCAACCCGGAAGTGCATCCCCAAGGTACAGCAGCTGCAGCACTCCTGCAAGGGTGCAACACCAGAGGGCCCTGTTACTGGGTGGGTTTTTTTTTTTGCTTTTCTCCCCACTGGGATCCATGTAGCTATCAGAGGAGGGGAACAAACCCATACAGGTCAATCGGTCTATCAACACTATATCAGAATGCGGTTATATTTCCTGATACTCTGCAGACCCACATTTGACTTATAGCACAAGCTCTGATAAAATGACCCTCAAAAGATTTCTGCCACAAACATATAACTGGTATTAAAAATCTGGCCCAATGTAATGTTTCCTCCCCTGACAGCACTGCTTCAATTCCTCCTGACAGCCAGAATAAACCAAGCGTACTATTACAATATTTAACCTTTCCATATTACCCGGGTACTAGCACTAAATTATAGCAAAAAAAGAAAAAAAAAATGAAAACCTTAGATAATTCGAGACAACTGTATATTGGTATTACTCCAAGCAAAACAGAAATACAGCTTAGCTTCTATAAAACTCCCAAGTTGGTTAAAAAAAATCTTTCAAATGGAAAGCTCCTATTGAGTGAAATAACACAGCATTTAACACGAGGTTTGAAAGGTGAAAGCCTTCGAGGACATCTCGCCATTCAACAAGGTCCTCAGAGCCGCTCATCCACCAAGAAGCTTAACTGCAAACTGGAGACAGGCAGACTACAGCAGACATGCGGCAGTCATCCGCCAGTTTGATGTAATTCTAGAAAACAATATTAGTAAACCTCCAGTTCCCCTCCAAAGTCCTTCACTCCGCAGGATACCTGACAGAAGAAGGGCAAGAAGCCATCTATAGAACAGCAGGACAGCGAGAGTTTGAGGAGTCAGAACAGAGGGTGGATGGCAAACATAGAAATATCTTGGTAAGAAATACGGCAAGTTAAAATGCCAGCTGCTGATTGGAATAAAAATGACAAGAACGGAATTCCAGTGCAGGTCACCTTATTGGCAGAGGGCCGTCATTACCCGCCTGAACCCTACAGTGCTGCAGTTGGAAGGTGTCTTCCATTACATATTATGTGGAACAAATAAGCACGTTTGTTAAATCCCAGCTTTATTATTAGAAGATACGTCTTCTCCTGTCTCCTGGGTCCATGGCGTCATGACCGGGTCAGGTGACTCGCCTTGTAGGAATCATTTCCGCATTCGTCGCCGTTCGCATCGCAGGGAACGCCGGCTTTGGCCGCATTCATTGCCGCCAGGCAGCTGCTTTCCGTCAACACGGCCAGGCAGCACTGCTCCTGGGCAGTCCTGCAGCAGGCGGGGGGCAGGGGGGGGGAAGGAAATTAAAAAAAAGCAGAAACTGGGGGAAAATTCTATTTCAGAACACAAACAAAGTGCCGGCTACAATTATCAATTTGTTTAGAGCAGAATGTACAAGATTGTTATAGCTGAAGGCAATTGATGATGCAATTCATTTCCAAACACTGAACACATTTACAAATCCAAATCACATAATGCTTCAAAAAGCAGAGAAATAAGTCTGTTAATAAGATGAAAAGTGAATAAAGTAAACTCTGCTTACTCATGAATATAAAGAGACACATTAAATAGAGCATCAACCAGTGTGACTTACCTACATACAGACTGCCTGTCCTGTCTGATAAAAGCCATAGCATTGCAATGGTTGTTGCCCTCTGCCCACTTCTGGCCTGCTTTGCAACAGTCCTCCACCAGGCTGTTTAGGGAAACGTCTAAGTAGGAAAACAGGCACAGATACTCAGCATTAACTGGTCGAACACACGAGGCAGATTTGAAAGTCAGAATTGGCATGATTGACTGTGTTCCCGCTAAACACGTTACATCAGACATTCTGAGACTGGTTGTCTTCACCTTCCATTTTCCCATCTTGCATGAACCTGTGTGACGTTTTAAGCAATCGTTACCTTAAACATGCTTCACAACAATATACAGTTTATTCAGTGTTTCGACATTAACATTTACTCTAATTTGCATGATTGGATTCATTCAACGTGACTGATTTGATTTGGCATTTATTTAACACTGTGTCATGCTCTAAGAGCTTCACAACTGAAATTAAGCATAACAAGATTTAATGTATCATCGGATGACTCACTCCTATTGATGCCAAAAGGAGACAATCTTTAAAAATACAAAATCACAATTAAGAATTTTCATGCAGGCAGAGACCAGGGCAGCCTTAGGGGAGTGACACGGGGTCCTTCCCTAGGATAGCCCATACCATGCTTTAGACACCAGTCTGACTCAAACTCATGATATAACACTCCAGGAGCAGGTGAAAGGGAGACGCACAGTCATTCTTATTTCACTGAAGATACCACATTTCTCCTTACTGATGATTCTAGAGAGGATATGAGAAGGTAGTCTTTTTTTTTCAACATTCCACCATTCGGTATTGATCAGTACTGATAAGTGTCCATAGTAAATCAATCATAATGGCAGCCTGATGACTTAGAGGGCATCACTGTTTAATCACACCTCCAGGGTTGGCTCCAACCCCCCCCCCTGGTGCGGTGGTTTAATCTTTTCTCTATGTTTTAAGGGCTCCCTTGGCCAACCCAATAACGTGCAGCTGAGTGAATTGTCCATAAAATTGCCAGTAGTGTGTGAGTTTGTGCCCTGCGATGGACGGGCATCCCATCCAGGGTGTCCGTCTGCCTGTTGCTTACTGGCTTAGGCTCCACGCTGTGACCCTGAAATGGAAAATTGGAGAGATATATGTACGGTGCGTGGCTGTATGCATTTTCCTAAGTTCACGGGCTTGTTTACTGGACAGCAAACCTGATGTAAGGTGTGGCGATAAAAAAAGATGCAGTTTAGCATGAACTCTGTAAGATTACCAGTGCATGCTGTGGCTTCACTGTAAAAATGTTCAATATCACAAATAAATTAGACCGGAGAACATTTTACAACAACCCAGGGCCACGTTTCTGGGTGTGAAGAGGGTCATTAAATGCAAAGTGTCACTTAAAGCATGACGTACTGTATGCTCATCTCCAAACGGCACTTATGGAGAACACACTGGGGAGTTTGTAATGGGGGATGATAATATTATGGAGGATTGACTAGAACATGAAGGGAGGAATCCCTCTGCAGACAGTCATGTTGCCTCGGCGTGGTGCGTCATCGTTTTATAGGCTTTCACTGATTTAAAATGACAAGGTAAATATACCTTTCCTGTCTCTTTCGGTCTTCTCACATTGTCACACAGAGAGCAGCGAACGGGAGACGCCAAACCAGAACTAACAGGAATTAGCCCTCACAGTGAAATGCATTCGAAGTTCAAAAAATGAGCCATCAAAAGGACATTTTCACTAAGCTACTTAGGGGCAGCTTATAATTTTACACTTTTGTCATTTATACAGCTACTCCTGAAGTTTTGTTTCCGGAACAAAAATATAAAGTCTTTGATCAAGTTACTGTCTAAGCAAATAAACATGTGACCAAACTGCATCTTTTTTGGTTCTGATTCATGTGGAAAGAAGAACCATAAATGAGCACAAAATAGTAGCCTGGACTGGCCTCCCCCAGGTCCTGGTGCACAACAAACAGCAAAATACCCAGCAGACTCCGACTGATCACAGACTGCAATCCCCTCATTAGCCCCCCATCAGACCGTCCACTCCAATCACCTTGAGCGATAAGCTGACCCCTGAAGGAACAATCAGCCACGTTCTTCACAGGGGGACCCAGGATCCATAACCATGTTTAAGCACCCACCTTCTGTTATTCATAAACAATGGGGTAGTAGCTGTCTGGACCTTGGAAAGACCTTGGTTGTGAATTTGAAGAAGCTTATACAACAACAACATTTACGGGAGGTGCACTAAAATGCCTTTCATTTTCACCTTCATTCATGTCATTTCACATTCCACTAATTCTTCATTATTCCTAGCAGGCTGGTGCTGAATCCCTCAAAGCCGACACATTGCATAATTTCCAGGTCTACCCTTCAGACACAGTTTTTGAAAATTATAAGTTTTGAAGGCAAAAGACACCTACAGGGGGGATCCAACTCTTTATCCTTATTGCATTCACGTCCACCAGCTTTTCTGAAGTCTACCAAAAAAAAACTGTGGAATTCAGCTAAAGTGAACGTGAATGTTCTCTGTGTGAATGTTCTCCAGTCCACACGGCTATAGCTACAATGAGGAGCATGTGACTGCTAACAATATCTTTGCTACATTCTACTTACAAGAAGGAAAGTGCAGTCCCAAAACAGAAATGAAAATGCCGTTAAACCACAGGTCCAAGTCTTTGAGGAATAAAGCGATATAAATAAAGATAAATGTTAAAAGAAGTTGCAAATGACTTCTACTGCATCGTTTAACGTCAATATCATGACATTAAAAAAGTACCAATGAAAACTGAAGAGATGGGTGATTGAACACATTGCTTGACAGACAGCAATCAGGAATATGTGAGAATACACTGAAGTTCAGAAAAAAGCGCTATGATTTGGGCACGAGTACAACTTTTCAAATAAAACCGAACCAGAAATGTCTCCTGCTGATGTCAAATGTTAGCACTTCTCAGAAACAAAGTGTCAGGTCTCTCTTCCCGATACACAAAGTACATTTCCTTTTGAATAACATTTTGGGTATAATTGCCCTTTAACCATTTACAGCTTGCCCAGCAATTCTTTCCTGTACTGCAAGCACTTAAAAATCAAGACGTAAGCAACTTCTTTCCATAATAATGTGTCATGTATTGTTGACAGCAGGGAGCTTACTTTCAAACATCAGACAAGCTCTTTGAAGAGCGCGTGGTGATCTAGGAGCTTCTCGGAGCGATATGAGCACCGCTCTGTCTGTATGTCCCTGTTTACGCTGTCTGTCAGGTATAAAAAAACAGCTTTGAAAAATCCAGGCCGTCATTTCAGCAACAACTCTAACGTCAAATATGAAGTGTGCACAACTGAGCAAAAAGAAACATTTCATGGATAACCTTTTTTTTGGTACTCCACAGAGGGAAAGTTTTACT